ATTACCTGCCCCATTAACTTGCGTGTTTGTGTGTGCGGGTGCAATGTGTGGGGGGGGGGGGGGGTTACACAATGTTTACGCTTACAATCGTGCTTCAAAGAGGTACGTTAAAGAAGTGGGCTAACAAAATACATTTTAAGACAGCTGTAAAATGATAATATAAAACCAAAATATCTGTCCAGCTCGTCGAGGTCCTACTTCCACTTCCCCGTGGTGAGCAGGGGGCAACAAATACGCAGCAAATCTTCAGAATCGCAAAATTGTATCTATCTATTTCAAAAGACTGCACTTTTTGGGCGAATAGAAGCAACGCAAAAATCGATTCCACAGCTAAAGCAAAGATCGTAAATAACAAAATAGTTCACTCCACTCTTTGAGCAAATTAAAAAGTGTCCACAAAATTCGGTGGCGCCTTCTTCGAAAAAGCGCGGACTTTGTGATCAGAGTTACCCTACTTGTGTGAAAAACAATAAAAGTGAAACGAACAAATTGTGCTATTCCTATTCCTCTTCTGGAGAAACGAAAGAGGGCTTCAAAACAAAGACTGCAGGGTCATCTGAACCAATGCGCAGACTTCCACGGACATTTTTTTGATTGAGTAAACTATCTTGTTGTGTGCGATCTTGGATTAAAGCAAGAAATTGGGGAACACATCTGGTCCAAAAGAGACCCCATCAGCTTTTACAAGTACTGGTCCAAAAGGGACTCTCCTCAATTGTTAGTGTTGCTTTCTTTGATTTCATAAGCGGATACATTTATTTGTTTGGATGCATATTTAAAAAAATAGAACTAACAAAAAAACAAAACAACAACAACAAAAGACAACTACGCAATCGTTTTCTTGGTATTCGCCGTCGTCCATCTGTTCAGGCTTGTCAAGAAAGTTGCTCCACCCAAGCCTCGAAAGCCTCCAGTTGTTGTTTTTTTTACCAGTGAGAGCTAGATCCAGATCAGATGTTCTTTACTTTACCTTTACTTTCATCCTCCGCTTATACCCTTTTGGGTGTCGTTGGAAGAAAGAGACGTCTCTCTGTCGCCAGCCGGAGAGTTTGGGTCAGGGGGATGCCGTGAGTTATGAATGTTTCCCCAACTCCATCTATCCAGGTCTTTCTCGGTCTTACGTTTCATTTCAGACGTTCAAAGTATTTATTATGTCGATTCGAGAGTCTCAGAAACTTCATTGATTAATTTGTCTCTTACTAATTATCTTTATCCATAAGGGGTCCATGTGGGTTTCCTAAGTTACTGTCTTATTAATTGGTTTCTTTTCCTTCCTTGAAATTCTGAACAGTGTCTTGAGAAACCACATTATATTTTCTCTTTCTTCTATTTTAGGTCGAGCTACCCTAACCTATTTTGAAAGCCTGTACACATTCTGTTGAAAATAACATACCGTCAGTATGCAAAGCAGCCTGCTGAAACCGTTCTTCTAGTACACAATGGATTGTCATTTTTAAAACAATTATTTAAAAGGAAAGCCACCTGTCTATAGATGAACATGAAACGTGAGATTTAAAAATAGTTATTTGGGCCATCCCATGAAAAACAATTAAAGTGCAAAGACACACGCGATGCGGGGGGGCTACGACCTGCAGGGAACATTCTAAACGGTGATAATTCCGGGTTTTTGTTTTGTTTTGTTATATTTTGTTTTGTGGTTTATTTGATGGGAGTTTTTTGTTTGTTTGTTTGTTTGTTTGCTTGTTTGTGATTTTGTTAAAGGAATGTCACCTGTAACAACAACAAAAAGAATGGTTCTAAATCACTGCTAGAGTCTAATTTTTTTTTTCATCAAGGCATCTTCTCCGAGTCACGCATATCACAGCAGTTTCATTTTTTCATGGAATGGTCTGTTTAGGTGTGTGATGTGTAAATGCTACCTCAGAATTCAAAGTTCTATCTGACATAGTTTGCGTTTTCAGTTACTATATATAAGACGATGATATCAGAAATCAAATGTCCTATCTGCTCTATCAAAATCGTAAGCTTATTATGAGTTGTTGTCATGAAATTCAAAGAATTGCATTACAAAAACTTGACATCTTGTGAAACTCAAAATTTTTTTACGTCAGATTTCTTGAAATCAAGTACTGAGCAAATAGAACTTTGTAATATTCTATGAACGCGTAATAATATAAGAACATTGAACTGACTGAACGCAAGGTCTGAAAGCTTTCGGCGAGAATCGAACAGAGACAGAATGTGGATCAAGACTGTCAAAGATCTTGTCAGTTTGTTCAAATGTTAGTGTTTGAGCGCTCAACCAGCTGCTTGCACTGTATGCTTCCAGGGAAGCTGAGAATGTTTCTGAGTGTTCTATGGTCTGCTAGGGTCATAATTAAAGGAGTTCACTTTCTGTCTCACCAGCAGTAGACCAGAGGCAAATGTTGCGGCACCTTTCGACCCATCATACACAAATTTTAAAAAAATGTGCACATTATTTCTTCACAGAATATATCGTACTGTTTGCTTTTTAAAGTTTCACATAAGCGACTGTTCACAAAGGACGTCAGCTAATATTCGGGGGGAAAAATGCC